CCCCAAAACCCCAAAACCCCAAAACCCCAAAACCCCAAATATGATTTAAAATGTTGAAAATATTAGATACCTAAAATAACATGGCTTAGATTGTGCTCTTTTAGCATCTTCTTGAGAATGTACTCGGGAATTCCAACCTTATTCAAATGCATCTCTTTGATACTCTCGACAAAGCTTGGAGAGTTTGATAAGGCGGTTAGTAGGTTTTCAAAGTATTCAGGGTTCTCGCCCCAGTTGCTAAGTTCAGTTAGACCAGATTGATTTAAGTTAAGAATCTCTATAGAGCATGTCTTGAGGGGTTTTGATAAGTCAAATGTAGTCTCGGTGTGGATTTTACAGCTGGTAAGACCAAACTCAGTTTTGTTACTGCACAAACAAAATAGTTTTCTTAGTTGTGATTGCTTAACTATAAATCGTAATGTTAGTCAGAAGGTCACATTTAAGACCCAAGATGGATAGTTGCGAAACTCACTTTCGAATTTGTAAAACTTGACATAACTGGTTGCAAGAGGGGCTGCGTGTACTCTTGGGCACACTCTTGAAATAAGCTTCATATAAATCCTATAAAGTTGTCACAATTGGTTATAGATTTCAATGTAAATGTTCTGAATTTTTTGCAAACAGCTGGATAATCAATATCAAGAATAAATCATCTTTATGCCAAATTAACAAATACTTACGAAATTGGAATCTTTTTGGGATTTGAGTTAGGAATCTCATTCTATAGTTATTATAGAAATGCCTTACTCCAAGAGTTAATCTGGAAACCTTAGCTGGAAAAGAGTTCTCAAGAAACATTTTAGAAGCAGCTTGATTTTTGTTCATCGAGAAAAGAGACACAGATGTCAAATTACAAGAAACAAACTTTCTGAAGGGATTATAAACCCTGTTTTTAATACGAGTACTTTGAATTTCATATTTCAGTTTTCTAATAGCTCTTATAAGATTTGGATCTTGCCTACGATCTATAAGAAGGGACAAGCCATAATTGCCCTCTTTCACCAAATCTCTCTTGTAAAAATTATACCATATTTCACCAATTAAGCTTCTATCAAACCTCTCAGATTTTGGAAACAGATATTTTTCATAAAGTACAGAATACTTCTTCTTTAGGGTTGAAATATATGATCTCTGAAATTCGGTCTGCTGCTTCTGATCTAAAATAAGTTTCTCAGGAGCTTTATGGTCTCTATCAGATAGGGATTTACACTGAATAACAAGCATGAAGGCTGTGAGGTTGTTCATGAACTTCCAAAATTGGCTCCAAGCCTTTATTTCTGCTTCTTGGCGTTGCTTATACTTAAAAACCTGCTCTCAGAACTTAGTAAACCCTGTATCTTGGCTCAGTTGCTTTAAGAGATTTTCTCTGACTCCATTCTGGTTCATGATTTCTAGTACCTTCAAAGTTGCCTTTGTTGGGAGGGTTTTCTCTTCTGAATTCTGAGGTAAAATTTCCATTTATTTATCTTTCAATAATCCTAAATTTTATAGGGGTTTTGGGGTTTTGGGGTTTTGGGG